GTGTTACTAGTAAGGTGACCAGCAGCACCAGTGTTACTAGTAAGGTGACCAGCAACACCAGTGTTACTAGTAAGGTGACCACAACACCAGTGTTACTAGTAAGGTGACCAGCAACACCATGTTACTAGTAAGGTGACCAGCAGCACCAGTGTTACTAGTAAGGTGACCAGCAGCACCAGTGTTACTAGTAAGGTGACCAGCAACACCAGTGTTTACTAGTAAGGTGACCAGCAACACCAGTGTTACTAGTAAGGTGACCAGCAACACCAGTGTTACTAGTAAGGTGACCAGCAACACCAGTGTTACTAGTAAGGTGACCAGCAACACCAGTGTTACTAGTAAGGTGACCAGCAGCACCAGTGTTACTAGTAAGGTGACCAGCAACACCAGTGTTACTAGTAAGGTGACCAGCAACACCAGTGTTACTAGTAAGGTGACCAGCAGCACCAGTGTTACTAGTAAGGTGACCAGCAACACCAGTGTTACTAGTAAGGTGACCAGCAACACCAGTGTTACTAGTAAGGTGACCAGCAACACCAGTGTTACTAGTAAGGTGACCAGCAGCACCAGTGTTTACTAGTAAGGTGACCAGCAGCACCAGTGTTACTAGTAAGGTGACCAGCAACACCAGTGTTACTAGTAAGGTGACCAGCAACACCAGTGTTACTAGTAAGGTGACCAGCAACACCAGTTACTAGTAAGGTGACCAGCAACACCAGTGTTACTAGTAAGGTGACCAGCAACACCAGTGTTACTAGTAAGGTGACCAGCAACACCAGTGTTACTAGTAAGATGACCAGCAACACCAGTGTTACTAGTAAGATGACCAGCAGCACCAGTGTTACTAGTAAGGTGACCAGCAACACCAGTGTTACTAGTAAGGTGACCAGCAACACCAGTGTTACTAGTAAGATGACCAGCAACACCAGTGTTACTAGTAAGGTGACCAGCAACACCAGTGTTACTAGTAAGGTGACCAGCAGCACCAGTGTTACTAGTAAGATGACCAGCAACACCAGTGTTACTAGTAAGGTGACCAGCAACACCAGTGTTACTAGTAAGGTGACCAGCAACACCAGTGTTACTAGTAAGGTGACCAGCAACACCAGTGTTACTAGTAAGGTGACCAGCAACACCAGTGTTACTAGTAAGGTGACCAGCAACACCAGTGTTACTAGTAAGGTGACCAGCAGCACCAGTGTTACTAGTAAGATGACCAGCAACACCAGTGTTACTAGTAAGTGACCAGCAACACCAGTGTTACTAGTAAGGTGACCAGCAACACCAGTGTTACTAGTAAGGTGACCAGCAGCACTAGTGTTACTAGTAAGGTGACCAGCAGCACCAGTGTTACTAGTAAGGTGACCAGCAGCACCAGTGTTACTAGTAAGGTGACCAGCAACACCAGTGTTACTAGTAAGGTGACCAGCAGCACCAGTGTTACTAGTAAGGTGACAAGCAACACCAGTGTTACTAGTAAGATGACCAGTAACACCAGTGTTACTAGTAAGGTGACCAGCAGCACCAGTGTTACTAGTAAAGTGACCAGCAACACCAGTGTTACTAGTAAGGTGACCAGCAACACCAGTGTTACTAGTAAGGTGACCAGCAGCACCAGTGTTACTAGTAAGGTGACCAGCAACACCAGTGTTACTAGTAAGGTGACCAGCAGCACCAGTGTTACTAGTAAGGTGACCAGCAACACCAGTGTTACTAGTAAGGTGACCAGCAGCACCAGTGTTACTAGTAAGGTGACCAGCAACACCAGTGTTACTAGAAAGATGACCAGCAGCACCAGTGTTACTAGTAAGGTGACCAGCAGCACCAGTGTTACTAGTAAGGTGACCAGCAGCACCAGTGTTACTAGTAAGGTGACCAGCAGCACCAGTGTTACTAGTAAGGTGACCAGCAGCACCAGTGTTACTAATAAGGTGACCAGCAGCACCAGTGTTACTAGTAAGGTGACCAGCAGCACCAGTGTTACTAGTAAAGTGACCAGCAGGACCAGTGTTACTAGTAAAGTGACCAGCAGTACCAGTGTTACTAGTAAAGTGACCAGCAGCACCAGTGTTACTAGTAAAGTGACCAGCACCACCATTGTTAGTAGTAAAGTGACCAGCAGTACCAGTGTTACTAGTAAAGTGACCAGCAGCACCAGTGTTACTAGTAAAGTGACCAGCAGTACCAGTGTTACTAGTAAGGTGACCAGCAGCTCCAGTGTTACTAGTAAAGTGACCAGCAGCTCCAGTGTTACTAGTAAAGTGACCAACAGTACCAGTGTTACTAGTAAAGTGACCAGCAGTACCAGTGTTACTAGTAAAGTGACCAGCAGTACCAGTGTTACTAGTAAAGTGACCAGCAGTACCAGTGTTACTAGTAAAGGGACCAGCAGTACCAGTGGGCTATGATGTCTGACGCTGGTGTCGAGTATCGTTGCTTCCTCGGCACCATTATAGCTATTACTAGCAGCAGAAATGTGGTATTAAATTAGTGGAGCAGATTAAATGGCACGTAAGTGGAAATAAATGGTATAAAATACAGACGCAATAGAAATATAAACACATATGCAGTATAATATGATCCTTTATGTACAACGTTTCGCCCACACAGTGGGCTTTATCAAGTCACAAACAGATCTGCGTTGATAAAGTCCACTGTGTGGGCGAAACGTTGTCAATAAAGGATCACATTACATTGCATATGTGTTTATATTTCCATGACACGTAGGTACGTACGTGTGTGCTTGTGTACTCACCTAATTGTGGTTGCAGGGGTCGATACTCAGCTCCTGGCACCGCCTCTTCACTGACCCCTACTGGGTCCTCCCTCTCCCTACTCCATGAGCTCTATCATACCTGGTCTTAAAGCTATGTATGGTTCGTACCTCCTCTGCATCACTTGCCAGACTTTTCCACTTCCTAACAACTCTGTGGCTGAAGAAATACTTCCTAACATCCCTTTGGCTCATCTGAGTCTTCAACTTCCAATTATGACCCCTTGTTTCTGTGTCCCATCTCTGGAACATCCTGTCTCTGTCCACCTTATCTATTCCACGCAGTATTTTGTATGTCGTTATCATGTCACCCCTGGCCCTCCTGTCCTCCAACGTCGTCAGACCGATTTCCCTTAACTTTTCTTCGTAGGATATTCCCCTTAGCTCTGGAACTAACCTTGTCGGAAACCTTTGCACTTTCTCTAATTTCTTGACGTGCTTTACCAGGTGGGGGTTCCAAATAGGTGCTGCGTACTCCAGTATGGGCCTGACGTAAACAGTGTATAGAGTCTTGAACGATTCCTTACTGAGGTATCGGAACGCTATTCTCAGGTTTGCCAGGCGCCCTTATGCCGCAGCAGTTATTTGGTTAATATGGACTTTCAGAGACGTGCTCGGTGTTATACTCACCCCCAGATATTTCTCCTTGAGTGAGGTTTGCAGTCTTTGGCCGTGGTTTGCGGTCTTCTTTGTCCTTCCCCGATCTTCATGACTTTGCACTTGGTGAGGTTGAACTCCAGGAGCCAATTGCTGGACCAGGTTTGCAACCTTCCCAGATCCCTTTGTAGTTCTGCCTGGTCTTCGATCGAATGAATTCTTCTCATCAACTTCACGTCATCTGCAAACAGGGACACTTCGGAGTCTATTCCTTCCGTCATGTCGTTCACATATACCAGAAACAGCACTGGTCCTAGGACTGACCCCTGTGGGACCCCGCTGGTCACAGGCGCCCACTCTGACACCTCGCCACGTACCATGACTCGCTGCTGTCTCCCTGACAAGTATTCCCTGATCCATTGTAGTGCCTTCCCTGCTGTATGTGCCTGCTGGTAGTGTGTGTGTGGTGTGTGTGTGTGTGTGTGTGTGTGTGTGTGTGTGTGTGTGTGTGTGTGTGTGTGTGTGTGTGTGTGTGTATGTGTGTGTGTGAGAGAAAGAGAGAGAGAGAGAGAGAGAGAGAGAGAGAGAGAGAGAGAGAGAGAGAGAGAGAGAGAGAGAGAGAGAGAGAGAGAGAGAGAGAGAGAGAGAGAGACTGACAGAGAGAGAGAGAGAGAGAGAGAGAGAGAGAGAGACAGACAGACAGACAGACAGACAGACAGTCAGTCAGTCAGACAGACAGTCAGTCAGACAGACAGACAGACAGACAGACAGACAATCAGACAGTCAGACAGACAGACAGACGGTCAGACAGACAAACAGACAGACAGTCAGACAGACAGACAGACAGACAGACAGACAGACAGACAGACAGACAGACAGACAGACAGACAGGCAGACAGACTACAAAACGGTTAATTTGGTTGCCACTCGTATGAAAACTAACCCAAGTGCTTAGTTCACTGTTGATTATATTGGATAATGTTACCGTCGAGGGAATACGTTTTGCAAAAAGTATTGCCAGGGTAACCTGTAGTGACGACCTGTCTGGTGGTGGCGCTGACCTGCCTGGTGGTGGTGCTGACCCGCCTGGTGATGCTTACCTGCCTGGTGGTGGTGCTGACCTGCTTGGTGGTAGTGCTGACCTGCCTGGTGGTGCTGCTGTCCTGCTAGATGGTGCTGCTGACCTGCCTGGTGGTGGAGCTGTCCTGCCTGGTGGTGGTGCTGACCTGCCTGGTGGTGGTGCTGACCTGCCTGGTGGTGGTGCTGACCTGCCTGGTGGTGGTGCTGACCTACCTGGTGGTGCTGCTGTCCTGCTAGATGGTGCTGCTGACCTGCCTGGTGGTGGAGCTGACCTGCCTGGTGGTGGTGCTGACCTGCCTTGTGGTGGTGCTGACCTGCCTGGTGGTGGTGCTGACCTGCCTGGTGGTGGTGCTGACCTACCTGGTGGTGGTGCTGACCTGCCCGAGGGTGGTGCTGACCTGCCTGATGGTGGTGCTGACTTACCTGGTGGTGCTGCTGACTTACTTGGGGGTTGTGATAATACTGGTCATAACTCAGCTGGTAGCACTAGGGTCAGGCCTGCCTGGTGAAGGTGGTGTGTTGTGGTGGTATTACTGGCGTTATGACCCACCTGGTGGTGTGAATATTGTCAATGGTGAGGGTCATTTGGGCGGTGTTGCGGGAGATTCTGACCTCGTGCCAGAAAAGGTCGTCAAGACGCAGCCTGGGAGCCGAGGAGAGTTCAGACTCTCCCGCCCCCAAGTTGATGCGTACCTGACGAAGGTGGCAAAAATAATGTTAAAAACCATCTCTTATATTTATGGACCCCCCCCCCCAAAAAAAAAAAAAATAAAAAAAAATACTGGCCATTGACAATGTTTATATACCTTTGCATATATTTATATGAAGGGTATATAATACCGACAAGATTAAGAAACAAACACATGTACAACATCTGAGTATCTTTACTTCTAAACGTTTCGCCCTCCAGTGACTTTATCAATACAATACAAGGATGTAATGTGAAGAATGTAGAGCTATATACCAAAAATGAGTAATTAGTCTCAAGTAGAGAGTCTTCAAGACTACGATGCTCTTCACTAACTCCAAAACTGAGGGACTCATTCTCTCATCTTTTGTGTATGGTTTTACATTCTTCACATTGTGTCCTTGTATTCATAAAGTCACTGGAGCGAGAAACGTCTACAAATAAAGACATCCAGATGTTGCACATGTGTCTAATTCTTCACTTTGTATACCTCTGATATACCTTTGACGGGTTTCAAGAGTTTAATCCCCTACTCCCACAACCCTGCCTAGGATCAGCCCTGTCTCCTGTATGCCTGGTTGACCAGGCTTTTGCGGCAGGCAGTTCGCTGACCTATCCACCACAGTCTGGTATAATTACTTCATTATCCAACTCGTTATTTTCTTGGCTTTCGTGACATTTTCCCTAATATGTTCCTTGAAAGAACAATAGATGATATTGTTACACGCAGGTTCTTCACAGGTGCCTTTAATTTATTTTAGTAATCCTGCGTGTTGTATACATTCCACATCCTCATTCTTTTCTTACCTAAGAAGACGGATCTTATCACTATTAAACATATTAATCACTGCCGACTGAAATATCATTCCTACCTCTTCTTGCATTATTCCGTGTCTTCTACCGACGTGATTCTTAGACATATTTTGGTATCATCTAAGAAGATAAGAACAGAAAGACGTCAGGATCGTGTCTTTTGGTACTTTACTTTCTGTTAGTGCTGGATTTTGCACTGTTCGCTAGTATTCCTTGCGCTCTATTTCTCAGAATATTGATTATTCACTTGCCTACTTTTCCCATTACATTTCTTTCTCATTTTGTGTTCAATCACCCAATGATCACATTTTTATAATACCTTTGGGTAATCAGTGTATTTCACATCGTTGTAGTTTTCCTCCTCCTCCCTATTGCTCCAAGTGAATGCTGGTCTGGATTGTGCAGATAAGTGCCGTTCTATAAAATTTGTAATTTGGAGTCTCGTAAGCCATACGAACACTTCCGTGAGGTTTGAGCTATTGGTCTGTAACATTTGGCTAGCACTCTGCTACCTCTTTAACACAAAGGAGCTATATCTGCACTCTATAAGGTCTCTGACATTTCAGTTGGATCTGATCACTTCATCTAAAACCTGCTGAGTGTTTTCTATTACTTTTTTTTCGAATTCTATGGGATTATTGCTTTTGACAGTTATATGATCTCTGTGACCTTCAGACGTAATGAAAAAAATTGCATTTTCGACACTGCTTTTTAATTGATTACTAAACACTGATTCATATTACTCTTTTAGAAGTTCTATCATTTCTTTTTCCTTGTAAATGGCTAGTTTAATGTATACCCCGTATACCCATCCTGTGGACGGTAGCGCAAGGGTATATGGATACACAAAAGACCTAGGAACCAGGCCACAAACTAGTTATTAACACAGAGGTAAATCTGGGTTTATATCTATGATTATCTGTTGCAAAGAAATTATAGGATATTTGCTTAATATCTCGGGTATCTTATTTCATAAGATACTTTGACAAATCAAACAGGTTATTATACTGTCTATCTCGATATTCCATAATAAGTGAACAATTAAGCACGTAGTTTGATCCTCATGTGTCTGCTAAACTTCCAGAAGTTCTCGAAACCAAGCCTAAGCTCGGCTACTACATCAGTCAGTCAGTATGCTCATATCACCAGTTGCTCCATAAATAATGTTACCTACGTTCATATTATAGTGATAGATCTACTCAGGTTTCTTACTGTATTCTTATGACATTCGGTTTTATTACTGATTTCTCTCTTAATATTATTCCTAACGCTAGACACAAACATACCAAAGTTATATTCTACAATGTCCGTCAACGTACTTTTTCGGGCTAACTTGTCAATTTAATTATGAAGAAGTAATTCAGTGTGTGATGAAATCCATAAGAATTGTACATTATTTCCTCTTTCTCTGAATTTTGACAATCTATAGCTGGCTTCTGCAATGAGCATTCTGTTAGAAGCATTATGTGAATCAGTAGCTTTAAATAAGCACATGGTATCAGTATTAATCAAAGAGTCAAGATCTGTGTCATAAGTTAACTTTAGCTCAATTAGGATGGCAAACAATTCAGTTTGCAGTGTAGACACCTAGTTGTTAATTCTTACGCCAAACTCATCATGATTTCTACTGTTCATCTCTAGTGAGATGACAACAAGAGCTGATGTCTACCAGTAGACTCCTGCTTAGATCCATCAGTTTATACAGTGTTACATACTATTACTAGGAAGGGATTACTAGTGATGAGGTTTTTAGGGACTGCAGGTTTGTGATGTTAAATGATCACAGCTTCTATGGAGAGGTGAAATGCTCTTGTCTGCAGTGATACAGTACGTGTAAGTTATAAAACTTATTATAATTGCATATTTACAAAACCTATTTAGATTTATGTTTATTCACTTCTAGACATTTAGTAATATTTTAGTGACAGTCTCTGGTTCATTTCTTAACAGTCTAATACCAAGTGTTCATCTCAATAATCTTATTACTGATGCTAGGAACACCAAGGTCTTTCCTCACATTAAGAACCTTGGTATTTTAGGATAGCCAAGAATAATTCTGAGCGTTTCATTTTGTACTTAGTCCAAGGGCAGGAGAATTTTTCTTAGCTACTATTAACATGGGCGAAACATAATCGGTAAATGACCTATTGCAGACTATGTACATCATTCTCATTATACTTACATTAGCTCCACAGTTGTGGTTGTATCCAGAAACAGCTCTGAGAGCCTTTGGCCTGTCTGCATTTGTTATTTAGTTGTAGTACGTTCGATTCCTTGTAGGATTCGTCCATACCAAGATATCTATAAGATTTAATATAGCTGATGTTTTCCCCTACAAACAGATGGGTGGAACATGTTGCTTACTTGTCAATTTTTTTGTTGTTGATGAAGATATGACGAGCACTAGTCGATTACAAATTACTTTCCTTTCGTTAAGAATGGCACTCATCTCCTTATGCTCTGTTGTATGGATCATGTTGTCATCAGCATTACTTATACTTATATGTTTAGGTGAGACAGATAGAGCATTTAGAAGAGCATTAATTAAAACATTAAATGGCATGGGACTAAGAACTCCTCCTTGTGGTGTATATCTTCGCTGTGTCATATTCACGATTTTAAAAAATTTTGGTAACCCATTTTTCCTGCACATTCCTTTATGCTCTCATGTTCAATTTGGTATTATTTAACGTTTTCTCAGTAGTACATACTGATGTGCTTCGGTATTCAGCATTTCCTAAGTACTAGTTTATGAATCTCATGACTGTTTCTCGGGGTGTGTCTGATAGTTCTGCTGTAGACAGCCTGTACTGTCTGCACAGACAGCCCATGCTCTCTGCCAGCTTAGTTCATATTTTGCGCCACTCAAGTGTTGCCCTCTGTAGCCAGGCCTCTCGGGAGGCACACCAGCCTGTCTGCCCATGCCTCGCTCTCACTCACACAGCAGCCTAGCAGCAAGACACAAGTACTAGTAGCTCTCTCTCGTGGGATGGCCCTTCCCGGGCCATGGGCACAACACAAGCCTGTGTACCCACCACGACACTTTTCAATAAACAAAGAAGCCTCCGAAGACGTTTATCATTAACCACCCGCTTACAGCCTACCAAACAAATAATCCCATTAAACATTGGTAGCAGTGGTGGTCGCAGCAATTGTTTGCCCGGAGAGAGGAAGGAGAGGTATGAAGTCATCTTCACTTCGTCACCCTACACAAGAAGCATCCGTCTCTCAACGAGTTATCCTGATGTCGTGTCTGCACGTTTGAGCATCCAGACACAGGTACAAGCAGGATCCAGCCGAAATTTGCCGAAATTCTCCGAGAATTGTAAGTGACCCCACGCTACAGTGTCCCACGCTGTTTCTCAAGTCATGTGTTCAGCGTCACTTGTATGTTGCTGTTGTTGTTCAGCTCAGCAAAGCTGTTTCAGCAAGCCAGAGGTGAGTTTTGTGGCAATTTCTGCGTCCAGTGTGAGTTCTCCACGTGTTTGTGGGAGGAGGAAGAGGCCGCCTCTTGCCTCGCCCTGCTGTACTCTCACACCTCACCAGCCTACCATACACCACTCACCACTACTCACTCCCTCTGCTGTGTTTTCTGCTGTTTTTCGTGTGAACTCATTGCCAGAGCTGTGTATCCGAGTGCTCGAGGCCACTCGAAGCTACGTGGATCAGCATGCCATGTAGATCAGCAAGCCACGTAGATCAGCATGCCACATAGATCACGACACCACGTGGATCACGATGAAACGTTGGGTGTGGGCGATGTCACGTAGATCTATCAGCCATGTGAGTTACCAGATGTCCCAGGCCACATGCTGTGGTCTGCTGCCTGCATCACATTGACGTCACCGACGATGCTGGCCGACTTCATGACGTCACGATGTCTGCTGACGTCACCTCACGATGTCTGCCTGACGTCACCTCGAGATATCTGCTGACGTCACAGTGCTGCTGACGTCATCACGCCTGACATCACATGATGTCACCATCGAGTGTTCAGTAATTATTAAAATATTGTCGAGAAGACTAAGAGAAGATATATGTCGTGCTTTAATTCCTCTCAGTCAGTGTTCTCACATTTTAGTATATGTCTCAGTGTCAGTTTTATGCACAGAAAAGCATCATTTGCTAGTTTAAGCCATGTTGTACCGCATGTACCGCTGGTGTGTTGAAAGTTTCCGTGTGTCCAGTGAGGTCTGAGCCAGACCTGAGTAGCACCACTGTGCTAAGTCACCCAAAGTGACCAGTACGTTTGACAGCTGATGTCAAGTCAGCCCCCGAGTGACCGAGCCCTCTTGTACAGAAAGCTTTTATGCTCGTCGCTCGTGATGTTCTGCAGAATCGTACCTGCTACGATTCCCATCGAGATTTGTTCACTTCACCTCCAGACCGTCAGAGTGCAGTTATATGTACAGAAACAAGTCTGGGGATGCTTAGACTAACCTCTGCTATAACTCCAACTGCCGAGAGAATGATACTCGCCAAGCCGCAGTTATCCACTGTCGGCAGGCGCTATGTCAGCCTCGTGTTGTAACAAGCTTCAGTGAGCAGCCTGCACAAAGAAGATGTCACTTTGACTGCTAGCTCACTCACTGCAGTCTGGTGTATGATGTTACGACTCCCAGATGTTCACCCAGTCGTCTCTGCCACGACTCACTCCACAACTCGCTCCACGCTCGCCGGCAGTGACAGCCCAGCGACAGTACCAATCGAGAAGTGTCCTCCTGAGTCGCTTGCCAGAAGTCCTGCCCAGTTGCCGAGTTTTGTCGATGCCTCACTCGAGGGCACTAGCATGTGCCCCAGGTTGAGTGAAAACCTGCAGCGACTCCTACGATGACTGCTTCATCATTCCAGAGGAGACCGTAACCTGTTACATCACAGCTCAGCAGCAGCGATGTCTCCTGTGTTGCAGTATCTGTCCAGATGCAGGAAGGCATGCAGTGATGCCCGTCGACGCTCACTGTCTATGACCACGATGTTTAGCACACCCCACATGTTTTTTTCTTCCCTCCCTGTAGGAAGTGTTTTTTCCATGTTCATATGTATATATATGTTTTTATTTTGTGTTCTGTGCCCTGTTCCTACGAGAGAGAGACCGAGTTCCTTTTACCACCAGTATTGTAGCATCGGGACGACGCGCGGTAGGTGGCCGAGCATATGTAGACAGCCTGTACTGTCTGCACAGACAGCCCATGCTCTCTGCCAGCTTAGTTCATATTTTGCGCCACTCAAGTGTTGCCCTCTGTAGCCAGGCCTCTCAGTAGGCACACCAGCCTGTCTGCCCATGCCTCGCTCTCACTCACACAGTGGCCTAGCAGCAAAACACAAGTACTAGTAGCTCTCTCTCGTGGGATGGCCCTTCCCGGGCCATGGGCACAACACAAGCCTGTGTACCCACCACGACACTTTTCAATAAACAAAGAAGCCTCCGAAGACGTTTATCATTAACCACCCGCTTACAGCCTACCAAACAATCTCGTTATACTGCTCTAACTTTGTTTCAGTCAGTTCTCTGAGTTGAGAATTAGACACACATGAAACATCTAGGTATTTTTAATGTAGACGTGGCTTTATCAATACAAATTCTAGAATTTGTATCAATACAAATTCTAGAATTTGTATTGATAAAGCCATTGGATGGCGAAATGTCTACTTTAAAAAATCCCAGATGTTTCATGTGTGTCTAATTCTCATCTTGTTGGTATTTCTTACCATTCTTGTACAGTTCTTTGAGTTTTTAGACTAAATTTACTAAACATCCCGTCTCGTATTATTCCTGGAATTTTCCACCCTTGAATTTAAATTCTTTTGTATTTCTGTAATGATGAGAGTATATTGTGAAGAACAAAAAGGCACAATACCATGACTGGAATAATAGACAAATAATCTGCACAGATGAGAGAGAAGCTTGCGATGACGTATCGGTCGGACTTGGACCACTTACAAAGCCACACTAACACAAAATAAAGGGGATGTAAATAGTGTGCTGAAAATATCTAGCCTAGACAGGACTCGCAGCAATGGTTTTAAGTTGGAAAAATTCAGATTCAGGAAGGATATAGGAAAGTACTGGTTTGGTAATAGAGTTGTGGATGAGTGAAACAAACTCCCAAGTACAGTTATAGAGGCCAGAACGTTGTGTAGCTTTAAAAATAGGTTGGATAAATACATGAGTGGATGTGGGTGGGTGTGAGTTGGACCTGATAGCTTGTGCTACCAGGTCAGTTGCCGTGTTCTCCCTTAAGTCAATGTGACCTGACCTGACTAGGTTGGGTGCATTGGCTTAAGCCGGTAGGAGACTTGGACCTGCCTCGCATGGGCCAGTAGGCCTGCTGCAGTGTTCCTTCGTTCCTTCGAAGGGGACAGGGACGGGGCCAAGAGAGAAAGAAAAAAAGCAATGGAAGTAACAGTGGTAGTAAATAGTAAGGAGAGAAGCTTTAGTGTAACAAGAGATAGAAAGAGGAGTGAAGGGTGAACGGTGGCAATAGTAGAAGTAGCAGCAATTGTAGTAGTAATTCATTGGTAGTCGTAGTAGTAGCAGTAGAAGTAGGGTAAGTTTAAGGTCAAGGAGGAGCACTGCAGGAGAGCTAAGGGCCCACAAGGGGTACGACCAAAAACATCATGGGGCGAGGGACGGGGGGGAGGTTACAGAAAGACAGAACACACCTGGACATAAGAAAGGAAAACGAAGAAAAATGGAAAAATTACGAAAGGAAAAGAGGGAGGAGAGGAAGGGATCAGGTCAAGTCACGAGTGTTCCGAAGTTTGAAGCATTTGACAATGTAATGAGAAAGGAAGGCATCTACACAGAGTAAGCCAAGACTCAGATTTATATTAGGAAAGTTGTGCATTAGGGATGCTTTAAGCAGACGGTGACTGTGAAGGCTAGAATCAGGATAGACAATTTTAACAGAGGACCAGTCGATGGGATGACTGGTCCCTGTTAGTGTGACTCTGTAAATAGTCCAAGTCGGACCGAAACGTAATCATAAGCTCCTCTCTCCCATGTGCTGGCTATTTGTGTAGAGCATATTGCATTTGTGATCATGTTTCTGATTAGTTTCTCATTGTTCATCAGGTGCAACAATTTGCCGTTTAAGGTGTCTCATTCAGGATGTTTTGCCGAACATTCTTATATACTGTAAGTCTAAATAGCTAATACGCTATGAGCTAAGTGATAGTGAGCTCTCGTCCCACGAGTCAGATAGGTATTTATGTTTTTTCTTCAAAAAGACACAATAAGTGATGGTAACACAATTTTTTTCCGCTCGAAGGTATTTAGTCCTAGTGTAATTGGGAAACAAATTTATCATTAAATTTAAAATTAATTTCTTCTCATTTGTCAACAGTATTAAGCACTGCTGATTTCAGTGGTGTTTTAGGTACAATATACAGTTGTTCAAATGGTAGAAAGTGTTACTGACAGATTTATATTTTCGTAATATTGTTTTTCAGGTTATATGTTCCAAAATCAGTTTCAGTTTCCCTCCCTTCCTCTCTTTACTTACCCTGAGGGCACCTCCCTCCAGCACCACCAGGCAGTAATCAGTGTTGCCGGCGGCCAGCAGCAGCAAGGCATCAGAGCGGTGCGTCTTAAGACGAAGACTGATCTCTGTGGAGCTGCGAGCTTCCTGGAGTGGCAGCGACACGTAGGAGGCGCCGAAGAAGGAGGCTGCAGAATACAAAAGACTTAATAAAATGAAAATTTACATCAGTACACAAAGTTGCAATAAAAATCCTGATAAGTGATAATTGTGTTAATATAATTCATATTTTACTTATGACTTCATTCGGAAAATCATCAATGAGTCACCAGCTACAGTAGCCTGGTGTGAGTACTGGAAAGTTGTCCGCTGTATAACACCAGATTTAAGACGAGGCCGCCTTAGCAGTGTTTCCAGGAATGGAACTGACTATAGGTTGAAGAACTCTCATTGAAACTTCCACTTCTCTCCCTTCCTCGTAGCAATGAAGATTGCGGAGATGCAATGAGACAAACGGGTGAAGCCCATGACCTATATAACGAACATTCTGTAGGGTGTAGAATCTGATACTTCGTAAATGAAGTAAATATCACTCCTACTGTCAGGGGGGATTCAAGATGCAGGTTCCATGTTCATATTGTTTTGAAGGTTGGTCTGTTTATATGAAGATTGGTCTGTTTATATGAAGGTTGGCCTGTTTATATGAAGGTTGGTCTGTTTATATGAAGGTTGGTCTGTTTATATGAAGGTTGGCCTGTTTATATGAAGGTTGGCCTGTTTATATGAAGGTTGGCCTGTTTATATGCAGGTTGGCCTGTTTATATGAAGGTTGGTCTGTTAAGTTGGGGTAATGTTTCAAATTGGACAATATTGTAAAGAACAAGGATCACATTCGAATGTTGTACATGATTAGAAGCAGCTGAATATTTAGCACCATAAACATAGTCCGTTTTCTACCATTATAACAGAAAAAGATTATAAAACGAGAGCTGGGGTAGACAGTGGAAAGAATGATCCGCCTCCTGTTTAACCAATAAGCTGGGGGAAAAAAAAGCTTATGTCACTATTTTTCTACAACGTTGCAAAATTCTGTCCCCCACCAAAAAAAAAAAAAACCAGTTACGCAAAGTAACAACACATGAGCTGAAAAGAATTTAAGAAAAACATTAAAAAATGCTCTATAGTATTTTTTTCACTGTCAGTCTAAATACAATGCGGGATACGTTTTTCCTTTTAATTTTTACTAAAACGGTACTATTTTTCGTTAAAATTCTCGAAGTGAAATTAGACAAAGGGTACTTGAACCAGGTCGGTCACTGGTGCTGGGACTTGGCGTGACATGAAGGGGACAGATGCAGCAAGCAGGACGCTGTGAAGTGTGTGACTGTAACAACATGCAATTTGCCCAGTTGGTACTGGGTAGTGGAAGCAGTTTTAAATGGGTTCAGGCAGGAGGGGAGCTCACAAGGAGCGACCAGGAAGTGAAGAGCTAAGCACAAGATTTAGTGAGGTTTTCAAAATGGAGATAGAAAGGCTTCCAGGAAACCGAGGCGGAAAGGTGCAGCAGCAAATGTTGGACACACTGTTTACAACCGAGGATAAAGTGAAGAAACTACTAGGTAAACTAGATACCCTGAAAGCGGTGGGCCCAGATAACATCTCTTCATGGGTCCTGAGAGGGGGAGCAGAGGCAGTGTGTGCCGCTAACAACAATCTTCAACATATCTATCGAAACAGGGCAACTACCTGAGGTGTGGAAGACAGTAATCATAGTCCAAATATATAAAAGAGGCGACAGATGGACAGCATTAGACTACAGACCAGTGACGCTGAAATGTATAGTGTGTAAAGTCATGGAGAAAATTATCAGAAGAGTGGTGGAGCACCTAGAAAGGAACAGGCTCATACATGGCAACCAGCATGACTTTAGGAATGATAAATCCTGAGTCACAAATCTGCTCTGGTTCAACGACAAGGTAACAGAAGTAAAAGTGATGGGTAGACTGCATCTTCTTGGACTGTAAGAAGGCTTTCGACACGGTACCACACAAGAAACTGGTTCAGAATCTAAAAGAGCAGGCAGGAATAGCAGGGAATGGGTCAGGGAATACATAACAAGAAGGAAACAACGAGGATGGTATGTGAGGAGGTGACAGAGTAGGCGCATTTCGAGTGGGGTTCCAAAAGGGTCAGTCTTAGCGTTGGTGCTGTTTCTGGTATATATGAATGACATGACAAAAGGGATAAATTCAGAGGTGTCCCTGTTCGCAGACGATGTGAAACTAATTAGGAAATACAAGAAGACGAGGATCAGGTAAGATTACAAGAGGCTCTGGTCCGAAAAATGGCTCCTAGAGTAGAAAGTCATGAAGCTTGGGGAAGGACAAAGAAGACCACAGATGGAGTACGGGCTAAAGCGTCTAAGACAGAAAACCTCACTCATTTAAAAGGATACTGGGGTGAGCATCATATCGAACACATCTCCTGATGTGCACATCAACCAAATAATCGCCGCAGTGTATGGGCGCCTGGTCAATCTAAGAATATCGTTTGACATCTAAGTAACGAGTCATTTACAGTATACCGTGTGCATGAGGCCTATAATGGAGTATGGAGCACCAGTATGGAACCCACACCTAGTCAAGCACGTCCAGAAATTGGAGAAAGTGCAAAAGTTTGAAACAAGACTAGTCACGGAGCGAAGGGAAGACATGACAACGTACAAAATACTAAGAGGAATTGACAATGTGGACAGGACCAGGATGCTTCAGAGGGGAGACACAGGAACAAGGGGTAACAACTGGAAGTTAAAAACTCAGATGAGTCTTGGAGATGTTAGGAAGTATTTTTTTAGCCTTAGAGCCGTCAGGAAGTGGAACAATCTGGGGTGAAGTAGTGAAGGTAGGATTCGAACATAGCTTTAAGAAGCGAAGTGCAATAAGGTTCTCGGAGCAGGGAGAGAGTGGACCTAGTGAAGAGGCGGGGCCAGAAGCTGTGACTCGAACCCTGCAGTGACATTTCATTATAGGTGACTACAAACATGCGCGCACATGGAAAAAATGGTGAAATTCCAAGCGCATTTGTGATATCTCACATCAAGGAATGGTAGAAATAATAGGTCAACAGAAGACTTATGAACCTGAGATACGACCTGACACATGACCCTACATACTGAGATACGACCTGACACATGACCCTACATACTGAGATACGACCTGACACATGACCCTACATACTGAGATACGACCTGAAACATGACCCTACATACTGAGATACGACCTGAAATATGACCCTACATACTGAGATAAGACCTGACACATGACCCTACATTCTGAGATACGACCTGACACATGACCCTACATACTGAGATACGACCTCAAACATGACCCTACATACTGAGATACGTCCTGACATATGACCATACATACTGAGATACAACCTGACATATGACCCTACATACTGAGATACGACCTGACACATGATCCTACATACTGAGATACGACCTGACATATGACCTTACATACTGAGATACGACCTGACATATGACCCTACATACTGAGATACGACCTGACACATGACCCTACATACTGAGATACGACCTGACACATGATCCTACATACTGAGATACGACCTGACATATGACCTTACATACTGAGATACGACCTGACATATGACCTTACATACTGAGATACGACCTGACATATGACCCTACATACTGAGATACGACCTGACACATGACCCTACATACTGAGATACGACCTGACATATGACCACACATACTGAGATATGTAAGCAGGCGGTTAATGATAAATGTCTTCGGAGGCTTCTTAGTTTATTGAAAGGTCGTGGTGGGTACACAGGCTTGTGTGTTGTGCCCATGGCCCGGGAGGGCCATCCCACGAGAGAGAGCTAGGAGTAGGCCTTGTGTCTTCCTGCTAGGCCGCTGTGTGAGTGAGAGTGAGGCAAGGGCAGGCAGGCTGGCATGCCCACCGAGAGGCCTGGCCACATAGGGCAGCATCTGAGTGGCACGAAATATGAACTAAGCTGGCAGACAGCATGGGCTGTCTGTGCAGTCAGTACAGGCTGTCTTCACTGACACATGACCCTACATACTGAGATACGACCTGACACATGACCCTACATACTGAGATACCTTACACATGACCCTACATACTGAGATACCTTACACATGACCCTACATACTGAGATACGACCTCAAACATGACCCTACATACTGAGATACGACCTGACACATGACCGTACATACTGAGATACGACCTGACACATGACCCTACATACTGAGATACCTTACACATGACCCTACATACTGAGATACGATCTCAAACATGACCCTACATATTGAGATACGACCTGACACATGACCATACATACTGAGATACGACCTCACACATGACCCTACATACTGAGATACGACCTCACACATGACTCTACATACTGAGATACCTCACACACGACCCTACATACTGAGATACGACCTGAAACATGACCCTACATACTGAGATACGACCTGAAATATGACCCTACATACTGAGATAAGACCTGACACATGACCCTACATTCTGAGATACGACCTGACACATGACCCTACATACTGAGATACGACCTCAAACATGACCCTACATACTGAGATACGACCTGACATATGACCATACATACTGAGATACAACCTGACATATGACCCTACATACTGAGATACGACCTGACACATGATCCTACATACTGAGATACGACCTGACATATGACCTTACATACTGAGATACGACCTGACATATGACCCTACATACTGAGATACGACCTGACACATGACCCTACATACTGAGATACGACCTGACACATGATCCTACATACTGAGATACGACCTGACATATGACCTTACATACTGAGATACGACCTGACATATGACCTTACATACTGAGATACGACCTGACATATGACCCTACATACTGAGATACGACCTGACACATGACCCTACATACTGAGATACGACCTGACATATGACCACACATACTGAGATATGTAAGCAGGCGGTTAATGATAAATGTCTTCGGAGGCTTCTTAGTTTATTGAAAGGTCGTGGTGGGTACACAGGCTTGTGTGTTGTGCCCATGGCCCGGGAGGGCCATCCCACGAGAGAGAGCTAGGAGTAGGCCTTGTGTCTTCCTGCTAG